GTTCTTTTCAAATTTATTTCATTTTCTATTTTTTATGCAATTTTTTTAGTGATCACGATCACACTTTATTTATCGATTAGACGAATACATTTTAAAATTAAATTATTTAGTGTACCGTGAATTTATTTTAGTTTCGAATTAATAATAGTCATATATATGACCAATTAAATACTTATCAAACTCGCATTCTTTTGCACCAAATATGTTTGTAATAAAAAATTATTAGAAGATTGGTCGTCTTTTATTTTGCATCAAATACGTTTGTAATAAAAAAATTATTGATCAGACAAATTGTAGTATGTTTTGCTTCTATCAAGAAATCTGCATTATCTCAACAGAGATGTTGGAATGCATCTTTGTGTTTTATTTCGTTAGAACCTTAAATTGATGTATGATTTTTTCTCACTCTTTTTATCGTTTTTCTGCGATTTTTATCTTTCACATCGATTCATTTGTGAATTATTATGTTTTTCTAAATTCACAATTTGTACCGGAGTAAGGTTACTTTCGAGAGTATTGGTTAGAAAATGACTGACAACTTTATCATTCTAACAACCTTAAAATTCCTAAAATCACTAATTAATTTTCTCACACCATTTTTTTTTTTAATGTTACGATTCTTTTTTTGAAGTTTTTTGTGACTTTATTTTTGTGACTTTTTGTTTTAAAATGGTAGTTACCTATCGAAAGTTTTAAATGTATTTATTGTTTAGTATATTACTGGGTTTAATAAATAAAATATTAATTTTTTAAATCGTTAAAAATTTACAATAACACATTTAATTTAGAATTATAATTTTTGGTGGATATCAAAAAAAAAAAAAACTGAAATTAGTCATCTTTATGTTACACTTTAATTTTTGTAATTAACTTTATTAAATTGTATGAACTAATTGTTAATGTTATTAAAAAATAATATTTTCTGACTTTTTGTTTAAAATTGTAGTTATCAATCGAAAATTTAAATGTATTCTATTGTATAGTATATTACTGGGCTAAATAAATAATATATATATATTTTTCAAACCGTTAAAAATTTACAATAACACATTTAATTTATAATTATAATTTTTGGTGGATATCAAAGAAAGAAAAAAAATGAAATTGGTCATTCTTATGTTACACTTTAATTTTTGGAATTAACTTACATTAAACTTAGCTATTAAATTGTAGGAATTGATTGTTAAAGTTATTCAAAACACATAATTTTTTTTTAAATAATAAAAAAAAAGATAAATGTCAAAATAATAGGTGACACATGGCATCTTCTCATGATTTGGATTTAGAAAAACCTTAAAATATTATAGATAATAA